AAAAATTTCTTCCTGAGATCTAATCTGAATCTTTTTTCTTCCAATTTAAAACCGTTTCCCCTTGTCCTATCATTACCCTTCTTGGCAAAGAGTCCCTCCCCAGCTCTTCTATAGGCACCCTTCAGGTATTGAAAGGCCGCTATAAGGTGTCCCCGGAGCCTTCTCTTCTCCAGGCTGAACAATCCCAGCTCCCTCAGCCTGTCTTCATAGCAGAGGTGCTCCATCCCTCTGATCATCTTCGTGGGAATATTCTTAGTAGAGGGCTGTGGGATCACCACCACACTGATGATCAAACCAGAGATGCACTTGCCTCCAGGCCCTACTGGATACTGCTCCCTCCAATGAGAACAGCAGCCAAAAGCAAAGAGGAAGGTGAATTGAGATGACAGATGTTCCTCTCCAACACAGAGCTGAAAGGAGCAGGGTGTTCACCCACCAAAACCCAATGTGAACATCACTGGTAACTTACCTCCCCTCCCCAAGCTTACCTCATCTCCATTTTCCAGATCTCTACTCCAATCTTGCCTTGGTCTCTCGAAAGCCAGGGTCTGGAAGTCCCTCGCTGCTCTAATGAACTTCAGGTGACAGTGGGTACTTAGCCCTGAAAACAGCCCCCAGCTCCTTGAGGAAAAATCAACATTCTTAGAGCATGAACACAAATGATTTCATTAACGTTGGTCATGACCCGTGGATGATTTTGTATGAAGAGATGTTAGCGCCTGAACACAGAAAAGACTCTCGTGGACGTAGGATGGATGCCCACCTTGTGCGTGACCTCTCTTGCTCTCTCCTTCCACCTCTCTTGTGTCTTCACCCAACTTCCAGAACACGGTGTCAGCTCAACACAAACCTTTGCAAATTCTGAGCCAACCACTTTACAAAATTCACTTCTGCAGCCATTCCCTTGCAGGTGAGAAGACATTGAAATCTAAATCCTCACCTGATTTGAGGTGGCAACACCCAATTCTCGATCAAGTGGGATTTACTGTGGGCATGTGCTGATTAATGTGTTAACAACTGGCACGGGACAAACACCTGATGACTTCTGGGTCCTGCAAATGGGATTTGGCACGTTGGGCAAACACCTCAGCACCCTTCAGTTCCCCCTGTCCCTGCTGTCTGGGAAGCAAGGCTGCCTTGGTGGTACCTACCATGATGAAGGGCTGGGGTTAGGGATCTCCAGGTGCTCACAGAATAGAAAGATGGATATAAAGAAAACACTAGAAATAATGAGTTTGCCTTGCTCAAACTTGCAGCTGCAGGGAAGGTCTTGCAACAGTTTGCAGAGAAGGATATGGTCTAGAATTCCCATTTCTTTGGAAAGGAAAACAAAAAAGGATAGAAAAGGGAAATGCTCCCCCTCCTTTCACTTCTTCAGCTCGAGAGGTGACACGGAGAGTCAGATGGGATCTACCTGAAGCTCCATCTGCCTCTTTAGATTCTTTCAAAAAAAGGCAGAGGATCTAAAAGAGAACAAAGCAGTGGCCATCTCTATATTAAAGCTCATTCCAAATATCTGCTTGGAACTGTTAACGTGGGGACATCCTGACGGGTGAAAAAAACCCACCACCACCAACTCCACAAGGTTACGTGATCTGTCTCCGACACACACGACTCCTGAGGAAAGCAAGTCTGGGATTTTGAAAGAGTCTAACCCTGCTAAATTACATGAGAGTAGGACGGCAGTGATTATTTTGACACCGTTGAAAGGCTCGTGATTTGTTCCACAGACACTGAGCAAAGAACAATGAAAAGCTTTGATTTAGTTGCTACAACACTGCTGTTCCATTTAAAACCCGAGGAGAAACTGCCCTTTGGTTAGAGCTGATCAGAGCTCGTCAACGATCAACAAGAACATCTGAAATGATTCTCTACCACGGGTAGAGAGTGTCACGCTAACAGCTGGACACGTTGATCTTAAAGGTCTTTCCCCACCTAAATGATTCTATCATTCTGTGCCTTCCTCTGCCATCCCTAGAGAATATCATCTCTATCAGGATCCACTAAGCCTGGAGCTCAAATTCTCACTCTGGCAGTGAGCAATCTCAGCAAGATCTGGTCGTTTCTGAGAAGGACCTCCCCACAGGTTTTCCATTCTAAAAAAAAAAAGAGAAAAATGGGAAATTTCAAAGATTTTCAATTTTGACATGCAGCTACAAGGGGAGTCTTGGCTGGAAGAACATTGTCCAGAACTGACTACACCCAGCATTTTTTCTCCTGCCCCCCAGTACCATAAACAGTAAGCTGTGGACACACGCTCCTCTTGCTTCTGCTTCTTCAGATCCTATGAAGCTTGCTTTTTTTATTGTATTTTTAAATATGACCAGTCCAGTTTCAAAACAAAAGATGGCAAATGCCATTCTTTTAGGCAGATCTACTGCTTCCTTGAGCAGAAATCACAGGATCAAAGAATGCTATGGGGTTGGAAGGGACCTCTGGAGATCATCTAGTCCAACCCCTTGACAGAGCAGGGTCACCCAGAGCAGGTCCCACAGGAACATGTCCAGGAGGGTTTGAATGTCTCCACAGAAGGAGACTCCACCACCTCTCTGGGTAGCCTCTTCCAGGGCTCTGCCACCCTCACAGGAAAGAAGTTCCTCCTCATGTTGAGATGGAACTTCTTATGTTCAACTTTGTGCCCATTTCCTCTTGTCCTTGTCACTGGGCACCACTGGAAAAAGATTGGCCCCATCCTTCTGACACCCACCCTTTAAGTATTGATAAGCATTGATCAGGTTCCCCCCTCAGTCCTCAATGTCCAACATCACCTCTCAACTTGGTTCAAAAGACACGTGTCCTGCTTGACCTCTGCACCACCACATGGGGAGAAGGGAAGAAAAGACGAGTGACAGAAGGACTAGGATGCAGGTATGTGGCTGGAGGGGTGGCAAAGGCAGCAGAGGTGACAAACTGAAGCTCACTCCAGAAACATTCAGAACTGCTGCTCTGCTTCAAAGGCAAAAGTCATCCACAACACGGACAGTTTTGAAGTCTACACCCTCTTGGCTGCAATCAGCATGCCCGAGCTGAAGCCACACGTGCCAGAGATGCTGCTGATGATGATACAGGAGATGTTTAAAGAACACAACATCTCAAATGAAGCCCGAAACACAGTTGGAAGAAAGCAAGCAAGACTGACTCTCATTGCTCAAGGCTGTCAGGATGGGAAACCAATAAACATTTGGCAATAACAGAGCCCTTCCTTCCCGACACAGCTCTTCTCCTGATTTTACAGAATCATCTGGCCTTAAAAACGTCTGCTTTTCCTCTACGCTGCAGTTTGCTGCCAATTCTAAGTCTGGCGAGGATGGATCTGCCAACTTCTTGGCTCTCTGTTACAAAAGAGAACATTATAGAGGAGAATTTGTGAGTTAGCCCATTTGTAAACACCGCAGCGACCATGTAAACATCTCGCTGATGCCCCTATTATTTCTCTCAAGCAGTTTACCTGGCACCTGAGGCTGAACTCCAGGATCTGGCCTCTCCTACTGACACTACGGTTGCTTCACACTTGAAAAAGCCCGGCTTCTTTTTGTAGCATCGAAACAAAAAAAAATATCCTTAATTAAACCGTACTCACAAAGCCTCTTGATAATTGGAACGGGAGAGTCACCGGCAATATTTTGAATATGAATGATATCCGCAGGTGCACTCGCAGTCGTACAGTAGGACGCGGTTCAAACGCAGCCAATTAGAGGAACCCACCAGGTAAATAAATAGCAGAAGGCTCAAGACAACGTCGCTCATTTGACGCCACCACTATTGTGAGAAAAGCCTTTTCTAAGACGAACGCGGCAGCCGTTATCTCAGCAAAAACCAATTAAACAAAACTCTACTCGCACGGAGCTGCTTTGGGGTTTGGGGGCACTGCGTGGCCTTTCATTCACAAGCACTTTCCAAGAAAAGAAACTCTGGTGGCGAATGAATCACAGCTCACTCTCACGTGGGATCCTTTTAGGTTGCTGTGATGGAAAACAGTGAGATGGAAGTACCGTTCCCAAAACCAAGGCTGGTTACGCGTAAAAGTCTACGCTTCTAAAGCTTCAGCAACAACATCTGCTGGAAAAACATGATTGACGCAGCAGAGGGAACACCACCCGCCTCTGAGAAGCGGAAAAGACAGACGGAAACATCAATCTTGTGCATAAAATACATTTATTGTTGGTACAGAGAGAGGCATGTTCGTCAGTACTTGGTAGGAGTGAGGAGCACAACAGAATCGTTTCCCGTAAATAAAGGCCATGTTACATCTGAAGTGTTGGATCATTAACATCATTCCAGCAGAAGGCCTGGAGAGAGACTTCATGAAGTTACATAATTTGTGATATAAATTAAAGCACAATTTACGTCATTTATACACTGTAGGGAAAACTTCCAATATGGATACAGGCTGCAGAGTGAGGAGCATCGGCTGACGTCCCGGCACACCAAGTGTTACACACCCGCGCCTTGGACAGGGAGAAGTATTTTTTTGAGGAGATTCTACAATAAAATAGCAGCATTTGAAGGATATTTCCCCTTTCTGAGGTCAGTGAAAGGTTCTTTTCTTTTCCTTCCTTCAATCACCAATAAGTGGATTTTACTACGACTGAACAGTATCTTCGGGCGTGTGATTTCTGATGTAATAAGATACAGGTCTTGGCTTTTCAAATGGTCACACTGATTGAGCTGTGATGGCTGCTGCTCTTGAAATGGCTCTTCCAGTTCTTCTCTTTATTGGTCTGCCCTGTAAATGGGCTGTCATATCATTCTTGGGGGGAAAAAAAAAAAATGCTCTTCTGCTGAAATTAGAGTTGATGGTCTTGTGCTTGATTTGGACAATGCCTTTATCCTCCTCTCCCAAGCATGCTCTGCTAAGAAAGTGGTCGGGGGGGAAGGGAAGGGAAGGGAGAAGGAGAAACACATATTTCAATAACTCAGGGTTAGTCCAGAGAAGTTTGGCTGCAATCCCTTCTTAGGAATTGCGATTTTTTAAAATTAAAATATTGGAAAAGAAACATTGTCAACACGCACATCGTCACAGAGACAAGTCACAGAGGCAGAATGAAGCTATTTGAGGACTCAAGAAGCCCACCACTGGGAAGCCTGAAGAGTTGGAGTAATGATTCCTTCTCATCATCATAATGCTGTCGTGGCTCTAGTCACGCTAAGGCTATTAAGGAAATTAAAAAATCTGACCTTACAATAAGGTAAGCCCCATTCCCAGCAATTCCATACTTGAGGAAATATATCCTGAAGTCATACAACACTAAGTATCTCCCCTACCTTCCTCCTTCCTGTGTTCTGACTCATAATCAAGCCTGAATGTGTTGTACTGACCTCACGCTTCACTAATCCCCTCCTGTGCACAGCCAGGCCACCAAGAGCTAGAAGTATATATCCATTCAGTAGTCATAGAATCATAGAATCATAGAAAGATCAGAGTTGGAAAAGTAGTCATAGAATCATAGAAAGATCAGAGTTGGAAGGGACCTTAAAGACCATCCAGTTCCAACTCCCCTGCCATGGGCAGGGACACCTCCCACCAGACCAGGTTGCTCAAAGCCCCATCCAGCCTGGCCTTGAACCCCTCCAGGGATGGGGCAGCCACAACTTCTCTGGGCAACCTGTTCCAGTGGCTCACCAAGAGTTCTTCCTCCTGCCACACCAGAGAGCTCTGCCATCAAGGTCTTGACTCTTCAGAGAGGTCCTGGCCTCTACTGTGAAAATGCAGACTTGCAAGGACAGTGTGTAGGGCTCAACTCAGAACTTCCTATTGCCATGATGTAGAAATAAAGGGTCTGCAGAAATGAGCACATGGATGGCTATCACAGAATCATAGAATGGTAGGGTTGGAAGGGACCTTAAAGATAATCTAATTCCAACCCCTCTGCCATGGGCAGGGACACCTCCCACAAGACCAGGTTCCACTACTGTCTAGATACTACTTGTCTAGACCAGTAAGGGGAACAGAAAAGTGGGATCTGATAGGACACTGGCAGAGCAGGAAGAAAAAGGATGTTGGAGGCCATCTACGTTGACCTGTCCATGACACTAACCAATTGTTCTTGCCTTCAAAATCCAGAAAATAAGGAAGACAGGAATTATGAGTCTCCTTGTAAGAAATGGCAGGGAGGGGTTTGATAATTTTTAGGACTTATGTCAGGAGCAAGCCCAAATGTAAACCCTGAAATCTTACAGGAGGCCTACAAACAGCCGATTCAAGGATTTGAGCAGCATCTGGCCAGATATTGTCTTTCGAGTCTGGACTCCATTGTCAGAGTCACAGAAGTTAGGGCTTGGGAAAATTAAAAATAAAGGGAATGAAAACCCTGTTGTCACATACGTCTTTAACTAAATTGTCATGGTATTTCTAAAAATAACCCGGTGAACCTTTCAGCTAGATCAAGCAGGTTTTCTGCAAGGATTAAGAGCTGCACTGAGGAGCAGGACAGTGTGTACATGAAAAGAGGGTAAATATCCTTGTGATCACAGATGTTCTCTGGAGCCCATGGCAGAGAAGTACACGCTGACAAAATAAAAGGAGTCGGTTTTATGTTCCGTAGGTGCTATTATGAACAAAAATCGGGGAAACTTTTATTAGTTAACAAAATCTCCAATCTCACTTTGACGGCATCCCCACGGAGATTTCTGTAAAACTGATGAAGGCTACTTTAACTGGAAAACTCTTTTTGCAGTGGTATTACAGAAACTCGCTCCAAGCCATCGCTGGGCTGAATATTAACTTTACATAAATTTAACACTGCATAAGTTAACACAGGAAATTCCCAAAAGATCTGAGAAAAATTGCGTTACCTTTATTTAGTGTCCTAAGGAAAGAAATTGCAGGTATTTGTTCATCACACGCATATTTCTGCCCACAAAATTTCATCTTTAGACAAATGGGACTGTTCTAGGGCTTGGTTTTGTCTACGTTTGTGGGGTTTTTTTAATTTCTATACTGACTTAGGCCATTTAACATCACCTAAAAATTTACTTCATGTGTTTAAAATATTTTCCTTCTGTTTTTTTTTTTTCATGACAGCAGAGTAGGCATGAAGGGAACCTGGTCTGATTTTTTCATAATAAACTTCCTTCAATCAAGGTAGAGTTGGGCGGTGGCCATTAAAGACAATGCCTTTTTGTTGTGTTTCGGTTCAGTGTTTCCAGCTACACTAATTTTCTGTTGGATCAGAAGATGGTATTTAGTAACAATACTGGAGGGTAAGGCTAAAATAATGGTTTTCATCTGACGAGGATGCATGATTAAGGACCACCTCATTCTACAAATTAAAATAATGGTTACAACCAGGCTGAAGAGGCTGAAGAATAACATTTTGTAGCCAGGCTGTCAGACACCAGCAGCTGTTGGTATCCTTCTTTGAAGTACTTTCAAATCTAACCTGCCTGCAGAGACTTGTATCCCCGTGGAATTCAATGGTTTAATAGGAAACTACTGCACAGACTTCATTAAACTATAGTCTGGTTGTGTTTCCATCTAGGAATTAGGACTCTCTGTAGCCCAGGGGAAGGAAAAAAAAAAAAAGAATTAAAAAAGGGTATTTTAACAGCCACCTTGTCCCTATCAGTGGATGGTACACTAGAATAAGTGATAAAAATCATAGAATCACAGAATGGTTAGAGATGGAAGGGACCTTAAAGGTCATCAAGTTCCAACCCCCTGCCCTGGGCAGGGACACCTCCCACCAGACCAAGTTGCTCCAAGCCCCATCCAACCTGGCCTTGAACCCCTCCAGGGATGGGGCAGCCACAGCTTCTCTGGGCAACCTCAGCCAGCATCTCACCACCCTTACAACAAAAAATTTCTTCCTGACATCTCATCTACATCTCCCCTCTTTCAGTTTAAAACCCTTCCCCCTTGTCTTATTGCTCCCCCCGCTCATCCAGAGTCCCTCCCCATCTCTCCTGGAGCCCCTTGAGGGACTGGAAGGGGTTCTAAGGTCTCCCTGGAGCCTTCTCTTCTCCAGGCTGAACCCCCCCAACTCTTTCAGCCTGTCCTCTCAGCAGTGGATGGACCATATTAGTGCTGGTCTGGCTGGAGTTAACTTCAGCCGTGGCAGCACAATTACATGCCACACACAATCCTAGTATCTTCCCCTTAATGGCTCCATTAAGCAGGTTTTTCTCTCCGTTACTATTACAATAAAATGCAAACATTAATAAGAGAGTTTAATTTATCTCGCTAGCTTCTCATGACTTTGGGAAAAGATTTAAAGTGAAGATACAACAATGTGTCAAACTCCTCTGAATTAACAGCTCTCCGGGCCTTTCTAACAAGGGGAGAAAAGGACAGATAGAGACATGAGATTACAGACAGGAGGAGAAATAAGGAGCATACAGAGGAGAGGGTGAGATAATTATAAGCAAGATAGGAAAGAAAGAGGAGTCAATAAATTCAATTTATGAAAAGCACAGAGTGTGCTCAGCCCGAGCACAAGTGCCCAGACTCACCGCCAGGAAATCGGATTAGTTAACTTATTTGGTTTTCAATATCTTGCTCTATTCCCTCTAGCAAATTTTCTTCTTTTGTTTGTTTCTTGTAGCCACTGTGGGTTAACTTCTTCATTTCTGAACCTGCTATTTATCCCGCTCCTCTGCCTCCCAACCAAGTGCACAGAGCAGGTAATTTTTGCAGTATTTTATAACGGCGTTTAGCAGTTATTTCAAAGGAACTGCCTGGACTTCTGGGCAATCAGCGAGTAAAAATAATTACAATTACAGCTGCAACACATGGAGGATGAGCTAGAGAGGACTGATGTTCATTATGAAAAACAATTGCTCCTGCTTGCAAATATTTCCATCATGAAAGGCTTCTCGTTCTCTGTTATCATAAGAGAGAAACCTCTCTGAATTCTCATCTTGAAGCGTGTGTGAAAGAGAATAAGAAGCATTTAGGAAACACTTTTAAGTACTTGACAGGCTTGGTTGAAGATCTTCAACAAAAAAAGGTGTTTAAAAGGGTTCAAAAACCTAATGCTCATATTTATGCAATTTCCTTTTCCTGCACCTTCTGAACATGAATTAATTCAGCCTCATCATAGTCTTCTGAAGAAACTCCCATCAGATACAAACTTTAGTTATAGCTTAAACATGTCTAAGTCATTTTCTAAATTTTCAAGTTACTTTTAAAAATAATATAGAATTATAAATACAGGCAATTAGTGTTCCAGAAGGTGCAAGCCACAGTAAAAAACTAGTCCACTATGTAACAACCTAATACTAATCAATGGCCTTTTTTCTAAAATGTCTCAGAAACAGCCATGGTCCAGTACCTTCAGACTGGAGTTTGGGATGCAAAAATCACACTAAGGGGAAACTTAGAAAAAAATATAAACACCAATTATTGTTTGTCATAGTAGGAATTCACTAAAAAATTGACAATTCAATTGAAACAAACAAACAAAAAAATTCCAGTTAAAAAAAAAATACAGTTCCATGAGGAACTGTACAGCTTTGGGAAGCGGAGTTTGGGATGCAAAAATCAGACTAAGGGGAAACTTAGAAAAAAATATACGCACCAATTATTGTTTGTCATAGTAGGAATTCACTAAAAAATTGACAATTCAATTGAAACAAACAAACAAAAAAATTCCAGTTAAAAAAAAAATACAGTTCCATGAGGAACTGTACAGCTTTGGGAAGAAGGGGATGACCAAAATTTGGGGGCTGGAGGTGTAGAAGCTCCTGCACCCAAGGAAAGCACTGGACAAAGCTGGTTGTACTTCTAAATACTCGGGTGTCTGAGCATGGCTCAACCATCTTTCCAAAATTAATGAAGTGTCAGTGGCTTTATGAAAGAAAGCCTCAGGCTAAAAAATCAGGAAAAAAAATCATGAGATCTAATAGGTTGTAGAGTTTATAAGGAAATGAAGGAGCTCAGGTGTTGGTGCATTAAGTGAGCAGGAGAAACACCAAACGGGCACTGGACAAAGCTGGTTGCACTTCTAAATACTCGGCTCAACCATCTTTCCAAAATTAATGAAGTGTCAGTGGCTTTATGAAAGAAAGCCTCAGGCTAAAAAATCAGGAAAAAAAATCATGAGATCTAATAGGTTGTAGAGTTTATAAGGAAATGAAGGAGCTCAGGTGTTGGTGCATTAAGTGAGCAGGAGAAACACCAAAGGTGTTTCTGCCACCCAGAGGGACCTGGACAGGCTGGAGACGTGCCCGTGTGAACCTCATGAAGTTCAACCAGGCCAAGTGCAAGGTTCTGAACCTGGGTCAGGGCAATCCCAAGCACAAATCCAGGTTGGGCAGAGAATGGATGGAGAGCAGCCCTGAGGAGAAGGACTTGGGTGTGTTGGGTGATGAGAAGCTCAACGTGAGCCAGCAATGTGCACTAGCAGCCCAGAAAGCCAACTATATCCTGGGCTGCATCCCCAGCCCTGTGGCCAGCAGGGCGAGGGGAGGGAGGGATTCTGCCTCCAGCTCTGGGGGCACCAACATCAGAAGGACATGGACCATCCCACGGAGATACTGGGAGGGTTGGAGCCCCTCTGCTGTGAGAACAGGCTGAGAGAGTTGGGGGGGTTCAGCCTGGAGAAGAGAAGGCTCCAGGGAGACCTTGGAGCCCCTTCCAGTCCCTCAAGGGGCTCCAGGAGAGATGGGGATGGATCAAGCTCCTCTTCATCAGGGAGGGGAGCTGTAGGACAAGGGGGAAGGGTTTTAAACTGCAAGAGGGGAGATTTAGATGAGATATTAGGACTGTCAGCCACTGTCTCCTACCATCTCCAGACCACGAGCAGGGTTAACTCCAGCAAGATCTTCAAGATCTTAAAACACCAGAGCAAGACTGCACCAGTGTAACTGCGAAAAGGTCACGGTGAACGATTATAGTCACAGTCTTAGTACTTTTTTGGACAGGTAGAATTAACTCAAGGGAAAATTATTATAATTATCAAACACTAGACCTGCTGGCTGGGTCCCCGCTAACACATCAGAGCACACGTTTTCAGACGTTTAAATATTAGCCCATAAATTTTAGCAGAAATAAAGATCAACAGACTTATTTAAGCACTTTTAAAATACACTACGTATGTGACCTATAAGCACGTTTGCAACTGGATTCTTTAAGAACACAGTCGAGGTCAAGACATGCCTCTCTATATTTGAATGATGTAAGCTGTCGAAAAAGAATCATGTTTAGAAATTTTAGCTTAACTGGAAAATGTATATATTACTACAATTTTCCCTTATGCTGCACTAATAAAGCATTCAAGTTTATAATCTATAGGAACAACCCACACCCTAGGAAATTGGATGGCAAGACCAGGTGAAGGTGTTAGACTCTCAGAGCACATAACATAAAAGAAATCAAGACTTCCAAGGGGTGAGCAGTCCAGTTTGAGCCATCCATTCATTTGTAACTGGAAGTGGTGTCACCACAAATAGTCCCACGTAGTTTAATCCCCTTATTTTACTGCTAAAACTGCAGATAGAAGGAAACATCTGCCAACAGAGATATCTACTGCGCTAAACTAGAGCTTCCCAAGGGAAAAGATAGAAACCCTGGCATTTGAATAAATTCAAAGTGGACTCCATGGAGCTCCTGAGAACATACATACTGGGAATGGTGCTGCTTTAGCATTAGAAGGGCTAACGGTGCTGCATCCATTAGAAGGACTAATTGGATGATCCCATGGTCTTCCTCTCTTCTTCATTCCATCGTTAATCCCATGGCAATGCTTCTGGACTCACCTGTTTGGCATGGTTGACACAGTGCAGGTACTGGTTAGCCAGGGCAGAGCAGCTGAGGGTCTCCTGAGCGTGTTGCCGGTAACACTGTAGAATTTTCTCCTGCAGGTCACCGCAGATTGGATGAGACTCGTATCGTCTGGGGAAAGAGAAAAGAACATTTTGGGCTCCTTCTCAAAAAAAGATTTCAGGAAACATGCAACTCTTTTAAAAAAGAATTTTAAAAGAAGTAAACTCCATCATAGAAAAGAAGAACAAAGTTATAAAGAAAGGCTGTTCCTAGAGCTATTTGGGCTATAAAGTGGGTAAAATCAGACACAAACATCAACATGAGCTGCAGAAATTTGGCTACTTGGACCACAAGTGTCCTCCTGATCCAGTACTCGGGTTCCAGCTGGCAGAGGAAATGAACACTCAACTTCCTAAAGACATGCCTTTAACTGAAGACCCCATGGATGACAAAGCACATCTGATCTCACCTACGTTAGAAAAGCAGTCACAGAACCACAGGAGAGCTTCATCGCTGCATAATCCTATGAACACATAAATCTTGCTGCTTATTAAATACTGCTCCTGCATAAAAGTGAAATCACCCATTGGGTTGACCTCGAAAATACAAAAACCCTGCTACCATCAGCAAATTACACAACCTACTTCTGCTGATCTGATGATAGCCTCTATTTTTGGCGCATCCTCCTTCCCATCACCTCAGTTCTAATCCTGACGCCAGATGTGCAAGTTATTTAGGAATTTTGTCTGTTTTCTTTGCTGGATTCATTACTCTTGCCATTTTGTTGGCTGATGCAACACGCTTTTTGCCTTCCAACACAAGCCAAAGGAACGGAACCTTCTTTAGTCTGTCCTGTAAAATCTAACCTCTTTTGGACAAAAATCTTGACATTTGCATTAATTATAAAATGTTATTCACACTGATAGTGCCACAGAATTAAAAGGGGAATACAATACTCTCCTATTTCAAAAGATGAAATGTCCATTGAAATTTTAAGCTAAGTGGACAAATACTTTCCAAATACTTTTTAAGGTACTCATTTCTGTAAGAGACAATCAAATCACAGTTAAACCCCTTTCACACCAAAAATAAAATCTTTCAATGGTAGGAAAAAACCCCATGAAAATTTAAAGAAACTTTTACAGTTCATATGCCTTGAAAACAACCATTTGCTTTATGCCTGTGAACTACATACTTAATGCACCTTCCCATTTACCCTGCCGGGAAAGCCCGACAGTGGCTGCTCTAACATCGAATCCAGCCCACGTTATTTTATTTCAATAAGGTAATAAAAAAAAATAATGAGTCACATCAGCCACAGTATCGTCAGATGAATATTCTGTTCCTTCTTATTTTGCTGATTGGCCAAGGCCGATCTCTATTTTACTACGGTAAGAAAGTGAACCGCGAAGCACAATGCTGTTCCTCGGGGGAACTGTCTTCTTGGCAACCACTCAAGCTATAGAACCAAAAAAAAACCACCAAAGGATGTTAGGTCGCCTTGATATTACAGTATGTGTCTATATAAAACATCCCTCTTATTCTTTTCATTCATTACCCTACACCTGTGAAACGCCGAAAATGCAATTTAAAAGCAGTCCCACGTGCGTACACACTTTATAGAATCATAGAATCGTTCAGGTTGGAAGAAACCCTTGGGATCATCAAGTCCAACCATCTACCCTACTCTATAAAGTCCTCCCCTACACCATATCCCTCAGTACCCCATCTAAACGTCCCTTAAACACACCCAGGGATGGTGACTCCACCCCCTCCCTGGGCAGCCTGTTCCAATGCCCGACCACTCTTTCTGTGAAAAATTCCTTCCTAATGTTCAGTCTAAACCCACCCTGTTGGAGCTTGAAGCCGTTCCCTCTTGTTCTATTGTTAATTACCTGTGAGAAGAGACCAGCACCAACCTCTCTACAGTGTCCTTTCAAGTAGTTGTAGAGAGTGATATGATCTGAAAGTTCAAACTTCTGTAGGTTCTTACGGGTGAGGATTTTCTCTTAATCCCCCCTCTGCTGAGATCAGCAAGCACTTCAAAAAGCGTGTTAAGCATCAAAACCTATGACCGTAAATGGCCACAGACCTTGAGCATGGCAAGGTCTGCATCGGGATGGAGTACGAGAGGGAGCATCACGTACCCTCTTTGTAGCCACAAGACTCACGGTGGTGATGATTCAGGTCCAACTAAACTCGTTTTAAATGCCTGAAACCCCGGTCTGGGTTAATAAACCGATACAACGGACTGTGAGTTAACAACAAATACACAGAGTAAACCCAGCTGTGCCTTTATTCACAAGTGATTTTTAAGCGACTTCTTATACAAAGGTGAAGAGCAAAGGAAATGGGGCTGCTGTTCGCTCACTACATAAATTGTGTAAATGTATTTAAAGCCATTTCAGCGGGGGTACTCTAACCCACATTCACAGAATCACAGAATCTTCTAGGTTGGAAGGGACCTCAAAGATCGTCTTGTCCAACCGTCAACCTGACTGACAAAAATAGACACCCACACAACAAACAAGAAGCATCATCACTAAACCATACCTCCCAGCACTACATCAACCCGTCTTTTGAACTCCTCCAGGGATGGTGCCTCCACCACCTCCCTGGGCAGCCCATTCCAAGGGCTGAGAACCCTTTCAGTGAAAATTTTTTTCCTAATATCCAGCCTGAACCTCCCCTGGCACAACTTGAGGCCATTTCCTCTCGTCCTGTCGCCTGTGACTTGAGAGAAGAGACCGACCCCCATCTCTCTACACCCTCCTTTCAGGGAGTTGTAGAGAGCAATAAGGTCTCCCCTCAGCCTCCTCTTCTCCAGACGGAATAACCCCAGCTCCCTCAGCCTCTCCTCATAAGACTTGTGCTCCAGACCCCTCACCATCATTAAGAAGCTTTTTTTATGATTGCTTTTTTCCCTCAGCTGTGCCATTGGTGACCATTGGAAGTCCATGCATTATCCCTTATTGGAACACTTCAGGGGTCTCTTTACGTTGCCGATGGTACGGGAGCCCTGTAAGACACATCACCTCCTGCCCCACGGTGACTTGTTTTCATACGACAACTTTTAACAGGTAATTTTTCAAAGCAAGGCCTGTCCTTTCAGGCACTGCAGACCCAAGGCAGCTCAGTGAGAAGGGGCCCACTTCCTTCAAGTCAACCAAGTCCATTTTCTTGGATTAATCTGTTGAAGGAGAGCACCGTCTCCGTATCGATCTGCTGTGCTTGTTACGCTCCCCTAATGCACTATTTGCACTTTTGGGAAAATGCTAAATGAGATTACTGTCTAACATGAGATGGCTATAAAGCACGTGCTCCAGGATCTCCCGGTCAGGAAAGAAGGTTGCAATGTCCATTATAGTAACCCCACCGAAGGGTTTCCGATTGATTTCTCTTTAATGATGTACGACAGGACTCTCAGACGGATGGTCAGAAACAGCCAACAGCAAGGAAATGCCTCAAAAGGGAAAAGAAATACCTCCCTAACAGAGAACTTCTCTAAAATTCCTTTAAATAAGGGTCATTTTACAGAAGCATTGAAGGGGCTGTAGGGCTTGACTGAGGAAAAAGCTTGTATAAAAAGGTAAACAGTGCAAAACCAGTAATTATCATAGAATCCTAGAATGGTTAGATTTGGAAGGGACCTTAAAGATTATGTAGTTCCAACCCCCCTGCCCTGGGCAGGGACACCTCCCACCAGACCAGGTTGATCAAAGCTCCATCCAGCCTGGCCTTGAACCCCTCCAGGGATGGGGCAGCCACAGCTTCTCTGGGAAACCTGTTCCAGTGTCTCATCACCCTCACAGCAAAGAATTATATGGAATCTACGGTGAAAATGTGGAGGTTTGAAATACCCGAATGGATAAAGCAACCTGGTCTGATCCCAGAGCTGACCCTGCTTCGGGCAGGAGGTCCTTTCCCTGAACTACCCCGTCTCCTGGGGTTTAGTGATGGCTTTTATCAGGTTGATGGTTGGACTAGATGGTCCAAGGTCCCTTCAAATCTAGGCAATTCTATGATTCCTGAGAGAGATCATAGAATCGTAGAATCATAGAATGGTTTGGGTTGGAAGGGACCTCAAGGATCATCAAGTTCCAACCCCCCTGCCATGGGCAGGGACACCTCCCACTAGAGCAGGTTGCTCAAGGCCCCATCCAGCCTGGCCTTGAACCCCTCCAGGGATGGGGCATCCACAACTTCCCTGGGCAACCTGTTCCAGTGTCTCACCACCCTCAGAGTAAAAAATTTCTTCCTGAGATCTAATCTGAATCTCTTTTCTTCCAATTTAAAACCGTTTCCCCTTGTCCTATCATTACACCTCCTGGCAAAGAGTCCCTCCCCAGCTCTTCTATAGGCCCCCTTCAGGTATTGAAAGGCTGCTATAAGGTCTCCCCGGAGCCTTCTCTTCTCCAGGCTTTGGGACACGTAGCGGGGAAAGTGTCCCATCATTTTATTTATTGACTCATTTATTTCATCACTTAGGAATTCCACAAGTAAACTGAAGGTAAAAACACATACTGTAGTCATGAACCAGTACCTCCATGAAACCCTGACAGATCTCCATCTCCATCCAGCCCAACTCAATAACTACTTTACAGAATCAACACACGTGAGATCTGAGACGCCTTTCTTCGCAAAAGTCAATAGGAACCGCAGCCTGACCTGCAGCGCGCCCGCCACATGGCACGCTAGGAACGGCCTGTTTTTATTAAGTTTACAATTACTTGATCTGCTTTTCCCTTTCCCAGCTGCTCCTCAAGCACCTCGCACGCCAGTGGAATATTTCGAGGCGCCGGAATAAACCTCCGAGGGAGGCACCGCACCCACCTTTTCCATCAAGCTGATGCACCGCAATCTCATCAGGGTAATAGGATGAAGACACAAAAGAAAACGAGGGAAGGTTTTGAAAAGAAATATTCTATGCTAAAGCACGGAGAGAAAATTTAATGAAGGTAACTTTGTAGTCATCTAGCCTCTCTCAAAGAGCATAGCTTATTGTACTCCTGGGGGCGCCGAGAAAGGAGCCCCCCTTCGTGGCATTCAAACAAAATGTCTACTAAAGAGGAAATTTGAAATCACCACGGTAAGCTTTACAAGTTTTGTGATAAAACTGACATTCTGAC